ATATATATATATATATATATATATATATATATATATATATATATATATATATATATATATATGATTGGTCATTAATCATGATATATATCAAATTACACGTGAATTTGAACAAAAAATCACATTCATATGTGAATCTACGTAAATTCATTTGATTTTTTACGATTTCAACTTGATGATCATACACAAATAAATTTACTACTAATCATAGGGTGAATTTACTCAAATTCAAATGTAAATGATCAAGATTTGGTTGAAAAATAGGTACAATAAGCATTTAAATGTGATTTTTTATATAAAAATTTCGATGCAATTAAGATTCACATGGTAAACTTGAACTGATTTTTTTTTAAATCATTTTTACATATCGATATAAATATCTATTTGGAAGTACCAAAAACTATGAATTTTTGATATCTTTATTGTTTGTTTTGATAAAAATAAACCCTAATTAATAAAAAAAAACAGAAAAAATTATATATATATATATATTTTTTTTGCAAAAAATTCATTTTTTATATATAAATATCGATCTCTAATGAAAAGATGACAAAAAATCGTGAATTTTGGTATATTCGATTTTTTTTCGATAAAAAATAACCTAAAAAAAACAAAATGAGTGTTTTGCTAAATACATGCACATTCAAATAGAAAATATACAACATTTTACATGATCCAATACATCGTCCAAATAAGAAATACACCACATTGATTCTTTACTACTTATGGAGTTATAGTTTCTACTTAACATAGTCTTGTATTTGTCATCATCATCCCATAATCTTTTAAAAATCTCTCTAGTTCCTCTATACATGTAAGCCAATCATATTTGTTAGAGTAGATTTCGGTGATTCTGGATTTCATGGGGTTACTTTCATATTTTTTTATAATTGGGGTTTATTTATGTAGTAAATATGTTTTAGCTAGTTGTTTAACATTGTATTTAGTTCTTTTGTAATATACAGTTTTCTTAAAATCAGTTACAAATTGACGACTTTAAGCCTTGATCAATCGATTTTTCAATCTTCCTTTTTGATCAATTATGATCCACACATAGGTCCTCCATGAGTCCTAACATGATATCAAATCAAAACATGAGAATAAATAACAACCCCCTAGCTATACCTACTCAAACAATCACATTCATCTCTGATTTTTCTTATTTATTGCTATAAATACCGACCCACTATACCCTTAATCATTCCCACACACACCAATTCTTGAACTGACCCATGCGCTACACCCATAATTCCATTAACTATCCATTGTAGACCCCATATAAAATCCATTCAAATAGGTGTTCCCTGTTTGATGATTCCCACATTAAAAACCCATCAAAACCCTCATAATAAACAATAGTTTTTCATGTTTATGATTCCAATACTTGATCTCTAAACTAAATTTAGTTGTTCGTGATTTATTGTTGTGAATTTTTTAATCATATATAATCATTCTTAAACAATCATTGGAAATTTCTCCCATGGGTTTTAGTTCAATCAAGGCTTCCATAGACAAGGGTTTCTGTTTCAGCCTCTATTTTTTTTACTTATTTGACAACCTCTGATTTAGTTCATGCAATGTTTGGGAACAACATGATAGATCCTTGTTGAATCTATCATATACCCCAGACATTCTAACAGATTCAAAGCAACAAAACACTCAATAATACCAGAAAATTAGGATAGAATTCCCATTCCTTCGATAGGAATGGACTCTCCA